GAGACTCGGTCGTTGATGAGGTTCTTGATCCAAAGTCAAGATCTTACTAGTCGAAGGAGTCGGAGTTGAGAGTGTGGCAGGTTGATTGAGATTGTTCGGAATACCAAATTCAGGAGGGAATTCAATATCATCAAAAAATCCATCATTCAAATCATAGTCTTCTCCTTCAGTGAATGGAGACGATGAACGATCAGTCATAAGACTAGGAGTGAGACTGGGACGATTTCGAACTTTTGGTGTAGAGTCATCAGCAGCGTGACCTCGGTGAGAACCTCCGCCTGCTCGCGTTCGGGGACCCGTGTTGGGGCGTTGTTTTGTTGATTTGGGGTCAAATTCGAGAAAGGCTGCTAAACTTGACGAGGATGATGAGGATGATGAGGAGGTGGTGGAGTTTACAGGTTTGACGGGAGTGGTACAGCTCAACTTCAAGTGCTGAACAGTGGGAGGTAATTCAAAATCATCTGCAAAATCATCCTCGACGCGACCCGAATCAGGCTTCAGTTTAGATAAAAGCTGTCGGACCTGAGCTCTAGAAGGGAGCTCTGAAGTAGATTGATCAAGTTCTAATCATAAAAACATGCATAAGTTTCCGGGTGAATGATAGGTAGGTTAGGAAGAAGTGAATCTGATTGAATACGAACTTTGGGTGGTACCACTCTTAACGCCTTCTACCAGAGGTTCACTAAATGGATCATCAACTTCATCACTGATCCCACTAGCAAAACTAGCTTTACTCTTCAAAGTCTTTTCTCGATCTCGAATAGGTAAACCAGAATCAGGTAAGACAAGATCTTCATCCCAATCGATGCCAGCTTGAATTGGGCTAGCTTTTTTACTCGGTTCCAATTTAGTCACGGTACCCTTTGCACCTGAAGCAAGCACCGAAAGAACCACCGAGTCGATACGATTTTGAGAACGAATTGAAGGATGAGGATTGGTAGATGATAATGATGAAAAAGAGGCAGGTGGAAGAAGAAGGGAAGCCTTGATAGTTGATTGACGTTCGGATGAGCTATTTGATGAGAAAGAATCTTCAGCACTAGTATCTTTCTCTTCACCTGATGAAGATAGTAGATGATGAGCTTCGGGTGAATCGCGATGTTGTTCAAGTATGGGTAAGAGTCCATCCCTGAGTCTGAGTGTACCATCCTTGTTGAGTTGATCTGGTTGATGTGTCCAATGATCATCTACATCTTCATCTTCGACACCATGTGAGCTAGGACTCTGCCTACCATTACTAAAGAGTGCAGAGATAGAAGAGCCCGAAGTTTCAGCTTCACCTTCGGTATCTGAATGTAAGAGTGTTAAGGGTCCTTCGGGGAAGATGAGGTCGGGATCAGAATCCCAAGATTCGGTCATGGAGACCAATGAAGGATTAAGGAAATGAGTCAATCTTGAAGATGATAAAGTTGAAGATGATGATGAATGAGAGATCGAGTTGAATCGAATCAAAGGGAGTGAAGCATATGAATGATTAAGTTTTGATTAAGAAATTGAGAAAGTAAATTAGGATAGATTTGAATGATAAGTTTGAATTGATAAAGACTTGAATCGATTTGAATGAGATTGTTGAAGTGAAGTGAAGTGAGTCTTGATGTTGTCTTGATGAATGGTTTCTTCTTGAGAATCAGTTCTTGATGAAAGTAAAGTAGGTAAACAGAGAAAATGGTAAACTGTTAATCAGTTTTAAACAAATTTAAATCACACCAAAACTACATCTTTGACTTTATATATATACTCAATTCAAATTCAATACACTTTCATCCAAACTGTTTCAAATTTTAACGCAGTCTGTTCTTTTCGATTTCACTCACAGCTTGACAATGACATTTCACATATTCATGAGATGGTGTATGTAATATTTCATTTCAACTGGCAATCTGAAATTAATTCACATACCTCCTATTTCACTTGTTTCATTCACTTTATTACCAACCTTCAAACAAATCATAAAAATCAGTGATCAGATCTTCAAAGTCAAACTCAAAGGTTTCTTTACTGCACAGTCTGCGGATGAAGGGTGCATTGAGTTTGTCCGCACAAGGCTCAAAGATGAGGATTATTACCAGTGATCTACTATATTTGACTTTCTATAAAATAGAAGCCTTTCAAAGAGAAGTTTAGTGAAAATGTAATATCACAATCATGAAATCTATCATGATCTTCTCGCTAAATAAATTCCACTTTCAAATTATCAATGGCAATTACAATATTTCGCTGATAGATTTTAAAGCAAAGAATTAAAAACAGTCAAAGGAAGATGTGTAAAAGATTCACAATTGATTGAAATGGATTGAATGTTAAATAAAGATTACCACAAAGATATTGAAAGAATCAGTCTTCTTTGGATTGATTTTCTGAAAAAACAAAATAAAAATGGTTATTGGACATCAACAAGTATGATTTCACTACATTGTCATAGGAAGATCAAGTTTAGAATCTCTCACTACGAGGATTGACTTTATAGGCTGGCGAGTGCAGTGAGCGAGCTTTGAGGGTATATGAACTGGTAATGTATCGGATTAGAGCCACGAGGTTCTCTCTGGATATTGTGTTTGTGATGGATACTAATAGTTTTCTCATTCAGGTATTCAAAGCTACCATCAAAATATCAATAGTGCTCAAGTTACGATCATATCAAGAAATAAAAATACAAGGAGTTTAGATATCATGTAGAAATTACCACAAAGAAATAGCGAGCTTTACCCCTAGATAGTTTATGATGATTCTTTTGAACTGTTGCATTGGAAAAGCTTAGCAAAATAGATGACTATGAATCTGATATTGGCCATGTGTTCCATTGACATGACTCATTACAGGCAAGAAAAGATATGTTGTCCAGTAAGAATGAGCAAATGCTTAAAACTCATTCAGATTGGATAGATGAACTTGAAGGAAGATCAAACAAGGACTTTGCAATCTACAAATCAAACTCAAGGTTTCTGGATCAAAGTATCAAAATTCTTTGTATCAAGCAGTTTTATAGTTGTACCCAAAACCAAAAAGCACTAAATAACATAGACCACATCCGCAACAGTGGGTTTTAAACCTTTTGTGATTCTGATGCAGCCCACTAGAACAAAAGTACCCTCACCTTGATATCACAATGCTGAACCCTGGAGTAAAGCTAATGGAATGTCTGTCACTGTGGTAGGTCTGGTGTGAGGTAGGACTTGGATTGGAAAGGGTTTTTGAAAGGAAAATGGGACTTGGGGGTTAAGTTTCAAACATGATCATGGTGGACACTTGTTGTACCACATAAAAGTGAGGGACATTACCAGGAGGAAAAGATGTATCTACTCTTGCTACAACAAACTTGTAAAGACATGGTAGTGACTGAAGGTTTTTAGATTGTATTCTAAGCTATATCACATTTTTCAAATTTTTCAAGTCAAAACTATATCAAAAAATCAAAGGAAGGGTGTAACACATAGAGATCCCCAAAATAAAACAAGCCAGCAGACTTACAAAGAGCAACAAGAAATCAGATGAAGCATACTTGCTTCAGAGGCTATGTAAAGGAGAAAAATTTCTGACATCAAACAAATCTATAGAGATGATGGTGAAGACTTTATATACTGAATAAAATCAAGAAAACTTGTGTTGACATCATACACCACAGTAACCCATAGTTTAACAACAACCAACTCATCATGGGTGTAAAAATTCAGAAAAAGTGTCATTGCTATGACATCCCACACAAGTATGCTTTATCAGTCTCGGTGTCTATTGTTGCATTCCACGCTGTAATGGTTTTCAGGAGGGCATTCACTTGTTTCCCCATGAGCCGCTTCAATCCTGCACCTGTTCTGAGTGCATTTTACTATTTTGTAATCAAGTTGATTTGTGCACCTTTTGACTCTTCTATTATGTTCATGACAAAGAATATCCTCATTGCATAGCACAGGACTTTTACTTATCTCAATGGTACCCATACAATTATTTATACTACCTCCATTTGGACATGGTTGCCCAACATGACTAGCTAAACCCTCACAAGAATCACCAAGTGGACAATCTTCACCAAGAAATTGGACCAAAGCTGGAGAATCTGCATCTTGATTAAACGGACAATCAAGTCTACATAATCCCAAGTGTGCTACTCCAAGGATGAGCACTGAAATGGTGACAAGTGTGGGTAATGATAATAACTTCATGGTGTTGCTGCAAAGTATTTTGAAGATATTGGCAATGACTTTTTCTTGGAGAGACACAGTTGCTTTTTAAACCAGTTACTTGGAGAGATATTGAGATGATGATAAATTCTTATGAATTTTCACAGGATTAAAGATCAACTTTGAGGAATGTATTTGGGGTTTATACTAGGGCCTTTGTGTTTGATGTTTGCTCTGATATATAGCGTTTAATGATACCTTCAAGATAGGAGGTCCTAGAGACAGAGACAATATGCCTAAATCTTTGAGCTGATCAAAGAAACTGAGCGGTCTTGACTTATATCCCTCTGTTTAGGATTATACTTGGAAGCAGAGTATTGGATTGATGGCTCTTGGGATGATGATGAAAAGAGGGGAAATATGACAAAGGAAGCTGGGTTTCCTAAATAGTTGAGCCTTGAACAAACTAACTGATTTTGACTATAAACTTATGTTTGAGATTAGAATTGGACTTTTAAGGATCAAATCTATAGTTGTGGAGATGGAAGTCAAAAGTGGAAAATCTGACCAAGGAAGGGAAGGTTTATATACCTTTTCAACTGAAAAATTGTGGGTGGCCAAGATGTGCTCTAGGTTTTACAATTGAATTATCCCTCGGTGTCAATTTTCCAGAGATCATAAATTGGCTATGTAATCTTTCATTCATTAACCAAGTTTGAGTAATTATATTGGGTAAGACATGTTTTATATTTCAAAGTTGAGCTGTTGATTTGTGGAAAGGTTTCAGGAAAGGTCACCTGATTAATTGATTATTATTTATTTCAGGCTGAAACTCAGTTCAAGCTGTCTCATCCAGATATGGTTTATCAATCTGTGGTTTCAATTAAGAAATGTATTCAAGTAATTGTTTTTTTCTCCCCAAAATTATGGGCGGCCAAGATGTGGTTTAGGTTGTCCAATTGAATTATCCCTCTGTGTCAATTTTTCCAAGATCTTAAATTGGCTATCTAATTGTTATTCAATTACCAAGTTTGAGGAATTATATTGGGTAAGATGTGCTTCATCTTTCACAGTTGAACTATCAATCTGTGGAAAGGTTTCAGGAATAGTCACCTGAGTAATTGATTATGATCTATTTCAGGCTGAAACTCAGTTCAAGTTGTTACAGCCCAGATATGGTTAGATTCAAGTAGTTATCTTTTTTCTCCCAATATTGTGGGCGGCCAAGATGTGATTTGGGTTGTACAGTCCCCTCCAAGCGGTTTACATAATCATTCAAGCTCTGCAGAGGCGAGGCCAGAGTTTGTCCCAAACCCAATGATTACATTTCATAGGTGTGGGACATGTACAATTGAATATCCTTATGTGTCAACTTTTCAGACATTATAAATTGGATATTTAATCTTTCATTCAATTACCAAGTTTGAGTAATTATATTGGGTAAGATAGACTTCATCTTTCACAGTTGAGCTATCCATCTGTGAAAAGGTTTTAGAAATGGTCACCTGGTTAATTGAATATCATCTATTTCAGGCTGGAACTCACTTCACATTGTTACAGCCAGATATGCTTTATCAATCTGTGATTCAAGTTCTATTCAAGAAATGGAGGTTCAATTAATTGCTGTTCTTAGACTTTCAGATTGGAAGTCAGCTAGGTGACAAGTAATTGTGTTACATACATCCCTGGCCAGATAACTTGATCTATCATGTTTGGAATATAGTTGTATCTCAGCAGGGACATAGACACTGTGCCTGTACAATATCAAGCCACCAACACAGTTGCTTGGGTCCCTTTCACTGTAATTAACATTGTACACTATCCCCAAGTGGAACTGGGAAAATGATGACTATTGTAGTTTGTCATCAAAAGATCTATCACTGCACACCTGAGCCATAACAACCACACGACATATGTGCAACAAGCTGGGTAAATTATTGGCTATCATGTACATACAGGTCTGCTCAGTTCCCTGCTCATTGGAAGAAGTAAATCACATGTGATACATCATGTGACTTTGTCCAGTTTGATAAAATTGTCCTAAAAATTGACTACATATACTTCCATAGCTACTCATGTAATACTCTGAAAGCCATTCAACAGTAACAGAAAGGGTGTTACATGAGGTTTACACTGCAAAAATAATGTGTTTTTCTATGGCAAAAAATGATTGATTCTAGCATTTAAAATGCCTTGCTTGATATTGGCCCAAAAAATCTGAAAAAATCTGGTAAGGCAAAATGTGCTATTTTCTTCCAGTTGGGAGATTTTGGTCATTGTAAAAAAATTCTAGCACTCAGTTTGGTGATGTTCAAAATTTTTGTGGAACAACACATAAATATGCAGCACCAAAGCACTAAATTCACCCTTCAATATTGACAAGAAAAATCTAAAAAAAAATTACAAGTGGAGGACAATATCCCCTTTGTTGAACATTTTTTTCAGAATTTTTCTGGCTCAGTATGCAAGTCATCACACGTGTGTAATTTTAGGTACTTAAACACTACTGCCATATGTACAAGGCTCCAAAACCACCCAAAAAAAAATTTGCAGCACAACAAAGGATGCAAGATCATCTGTACATGGTTTGGAGACAGTGTGTGGAATTTTGATGCCCCTGTGGACCAAAATGCATTTGAACTTTTTTTGGCAGACTTTCAATGTTCTAACCTGCATGTATCCAAGACAAAGGCATCAAAAAATCCGAAAAAAACACCACACATCACAAAGGGGATTTCTGATCTCTCCTGATTTTTCTGGATTTTTTGGACTTCTTTGAGAGGGAAAAAGCTGGTAAAAACATTAAAAATTGCTTGCTGGGTTCATGCTGAGTATGAGGCTTTAAGCAACCCTGAAAAAACGTTGCAGGACAAAGAGCGTTGTATCTCTCTCCAGATCTTTTTCCAAGCGTTTTGGGCCACAACTGGGCCCACAATTCCAGGTACAATTTTTTGTCAATCATTTTTTGCTAGGGAGAAACACATTATTTTCACAGTGTTAGTTGATGGAATTACACCAAAACAATGGTTCAGTGTATGTAGTCAATTTTTGCAATGCTTTTGTCAAACTAAAAATAATTACAGAAAGTATTACATATGATCCACTCATTCAGATGAGCCAATAGCTGAGCAGCTATGTATGTACATGATAGCTCCCAATTTTCCCATCCTTCTGCACATATGTAGTGTGGGTGCCTTGGCTCAGGTGTGCAGTGATATATCTTTCATGACAAACTACAATCTTAATCATTTTCCCATTTCCACTTGGGGATAGTGTATAATGTTTACAGTGTTTTGGCACAAACCTTGCTTGGTACATGTGTAAAGATATAGTCATGGTGATCATTTCGTACCCTCAAATTGTGGATATAGTGAATATGTTCAAAGTATGTATTGCCATAATGGGCAACAAAATTCACAAGATTTGATTTCCAAGATATAACTGATGCATCCACCTCACAAAGAAGTATATATAATCATATCAAGCACTGTGGGAAAAGAGAGAGACTTATATCTAAGGATGTGTCAACACATATGAATTCTTAACAACTTGGAAAATAGCAGCACTCAGATGGTCTATAGTCTATATTTAAGATGTTGTAAGCACAAGGTACTGACACCTTAAGTAAAGTGCCATCAAATTACAGATTACTAGAGCTTAGGCGGGCTTGCCCGCCTCTAAGTTTAATGAGTAGAGTCTTAATCCTTGTGGTCTAAATGGCCGGAGGTTTGAGTGAAATTGGATAAATGATTGGGACATATGCTCCATGCTCAACTAACCACATTATTTTGTGTCAAGCCCAAAACCACGTAGCAACTATCAAAGGTTAAATACAATCCAAATAAGATTCAAAGGTGATGTTGGGTATAACACACATTGTGACAATATACTCATTTCACATGGAAATCAACTGACCTATAGAAAATGGTTTACATCACCCATATTTTAATCAAAGCAAAATCTCCACAAAACACAGAGACAGATGGTTTACAACTCTAATAAAGAGGAAACCCAATGGATGATAAAAATTCAAATGACTGCTCATTTGACTCACTCAAAGGTATTCAAATACATTATTATAATTGAAGGGAAAGATACTTGGACTCTATAACCCGTACCATTCTCTGAAAAAAATCAAACCATACACAAACAATTAGTATAAGACACTTTGGTGAAGGAAGAGTATAAAGACAAATAATATTCCTTTGTAAGATTGAAAATTTCAAGTGAGCAAAAAGTCTGAATACATTATCTAAAGCTTCACCAAGTTCTCAAGGACATTCTCTAAATATTTCAAATTTACATTCATAATGATTAGATTTCAATTCCAAATTGATTTTTTATTCTTTTTCTCCATTAGCCGTGTTCAAACCTAACCTGGTTGACACAAAAACTCGGTTACCCAGCTGCTTTTCTGGTGGTAACTTTGGGTATCCATTGACAGTTCTTGACAGCTCCCAGCCAAAAAGTCCACCGGGTCAACTGGGTTTTTTGAAACCGGGTCAGGTTTGAACGTGGCTATTATTGTCAAACAAAGAACCCAATCCCAATGAATGCAGACCAGGAAGCAAAGAAAAATTTTGCCCTGTTTCATTCTTTTAGACTTTGACAATCCTTGTATTTTTACAGCCAAGAGAGAAAGAATGACAAACCTGTAAAATCACTTGAGTACATAATTCAATTGTCACCAAGAGCTTCAAGGATTGGATCCAGATAAAACTTCATACATTTTAATTTCTTTCCAAGCTAAATGATTGTCTTTTTGACTATTATTACAATGATGATCAATGACATCATCTTTAAGTTCATTCACTTCCTTGGTAGAATTATAAGATTTGGGTGCAAGGGTATAACCTGATGTATGATAAGGTCTTTGACATTTGTCATAATAAGTTGAGGCTCTATTTCAATCTTAAATCAATTGGAAGTGGTAAACCTGGTAAGTTTCTTAGGTTGAAGAAGAAAGTGAGAAGAGGTGGGATAGAATTGATGAATGCAAAGATGGACTTGGTACAACTGAATGAGAGGTGACATATGCAGTTTACCTATCAAACAAATTTGGAAAAAGTTTTCATTTAGCAATTTGATCAATTGGGAAAGCAATTTGAGATTGTGATAGATTACTTACCCATTTCACAAATTAAAAACTTGATTCCTTTATCGAGTTTTTGATGATTTCAAACAGCTGAAATACCATATAAAATGCCTTTGGAAACACTTTGAAACGATCTATCTAAATTCCCTTCAACTGAAGATTCAAGAATTAAAGCTATTTCACCCAAAATTATTAAAGAATCGATTCATTTTGCATTAGTGAAAGAAGTTTGAGCTGAATGGTTTGTTGATTGATTGGATGTGAATGACTCCATAATCTTTGGGGTGTATTTCATTTCATGACAAGTCAATTTTTGTTTAAATATTTGATTAACACTTCGGGCCCTTCGTTTGATGGTGTCCACACTGTTTCTCCTAATGCTGCACTGATTGCAATTAAACCTGAATCAAACGATCTCCTTGGATCAAAAAACAAAATTCAAATGAATTCTTTGATCTCGGTCTTCATATCAACGGTTTTTAATTGAAACTTACATGTTCTGGTCTTGATCTGAAGTTGAAGTTTAATTGTGAACAAAGCTTGAACAAACAAAGGTCCAACAGATTGAGAATTCTGGAAATTTAAAGTAGAAGTTGATTGTGATAAAGTAACAATGGACTCGATTTCAGGCGAACTCAATTGAAACAATAAGTGGAGGTTTTGGTCTATGATATGTAGGAGAAGGATTGGGATGCGATAGAATGTGATGTGATGATGATCGTAATCATAAATGCCTCAATGCTTTAGTCGATTTTAAGAAAAATTGGACAGATGAGGTGTATCAAATTGACATACATAATTGATAGACTGATAAAATGTGAGTTTTAACATAGAATGACATATATAAGATGTCTATATACATATATAGTGTTCAACTTTGGAATTAAGATGAATCATATAAAGGCATAATTTGAGGTAGGCGTTGTTCAAAGTTAAGATGTGCTAAAGTCGAAAAAGGAAGTAAAATAATAAATAGCTAAGAGTGATGTATGTGTTAAAATGATGAAAATTTCACAAAAGAAACATAAATAGCAATTGATGTTTGCACGGTTGAGGTGATGTGTATGTAGTGTACGGATATAGATTAGTGCGATGCAAACAAAAAGGAAATTGAAGATAGGTGAAGGGTGTAAGGAACAACACCAAAAGGGAATTGTATACATAGGGCAGAGACAAAAGATATCGGATGCATAACATATACAGACGGAAGTGGAATGCAGAAAGGCTGCTACGAGGGAATACAGGTGGAGGTGTTACGCATATGGGAGTAATGATACGTTGAATAAAGTGGTAGCGGAAATTGCAAGTCTGAATGCGGCAAAAGGCAATTGATGTTGAAGGATAAATGGAAAGTTTAACAGGGAACAGAAAGAAGTCAAGTTGCATTTAGCAAGATAAAATGTACTTGGTAGAGGAAAAAGCGTGCAGGCCAGAAGGCACTAGGTGGAGTACAAATAGAGACAATGATTGAAGGTATTATGAGGTCAACAATGCGCACCTCGCGAGCAAGTCATGATTTCAAAAGATTTCTGGCGGCTGAAACTGAGGTGTGTTGTGTAAAAGTGTAAATCTGTAGGTCCCTGCCTTCAGGCGAAGCGTCAGTCTTAGAGTCCTTGTTAGGGCATAAGTGCTGAAGTTACGCTTGAAGGGGGGGATTTATGAATTTACATTTATTTAATAATTACTTATCATGTTTCTCATTGCTTAATGAGTGGCTGGGCCATCAAAAGGGAATGCTATCAAGGCAAGTAATCTAAATCTGAATGGCAAGAGTATAGGGGTGCCCATTCAGAAATAAATGACTTATGTAGTACTGGGGTAAGTACACTGCCCTTAATTTGATTCAAAACATGCCCTTTGCAAGCTGATTGAATTCTGCATGATTGCTGCAAGGGGTTGTGATATTAACTCAATTCCTGCTCAGATATACAAAAATAGACATCTTATTTGATGAATTGCACCAAAAATCACCCAGGTGTGCATAACCAAGTCATGGAAACGTATAGAGACATACAGGCACATTTTTGGTCACACTCAAGAGCATCATCCAAATGTAGTCAAGGTTGTCATTGATATGAAATAACTGGCTCCATGAATTCAAAGGTCAATTATGGCTCAGACCTTCTCAAACCCAGAGATGTCCTCTGTAGTCCTATTTATTGCAGTCCAAAATCTGCACAGTGGTCAATAATCAGCAACATACTCAAAAGTTGAAAAACAGAAATGGCCAATTATCATTGTCATGGCTGTTAACTTTGACTGCAAAATACAACATTTGAGGATGCTTCAACAATTTGTCTTCTTGGAGTATGGTCACCCAGTCAGCTGTCTAAGTATTGAGGTTGAGCAGCATAGACCCCATCTCTTTTTTGAATCTCAACTTAGGTCTTTGTAATTTGCTGATTTTACCAAGTGATCTAATTTCTCATGAACCTTTGCCTGAGTTTGATATATCTTCACTTTTTCATTCCTTACCGGAATATTCATTCTTCCACCAGAAAATCAGTTCAAAGACTGACACCAAATCATCATGTTTATTGTTTCAATGAACTTTTGGAATATGATCACTTGTTTGTATATATGATTGGGGACGCCATCCAAGGAACGACATGGCGACGAGTTCCATGACTGAGAGGCGGGTTGTGTCAGACTATAAGCATACGTGCTTGTGCCAAGAGGGAACCTTCCAAGGGGAAGGTTCACACCTGTAGAGATGGAGAAAAAAATTTCCCTCCATCCTCACATCCTCTCGCACGTCTGTCCTTGTCCCGCATTGTCAAGAACTCGATTCACCCAACCTTCTGCTTTCATTTCATTTCTACCAAATATATTAACACTACACCAAATGTAATCTTTACCGGGCGGTAAAGAAAACTACTGACATAGCAAAGTCCTGAGGCAACAGGAAGAGAGCTAAAAATCTGAAAAAATATGCACCTTGTCCCCAGATGTTGGGGCGTCATGATGAGTATTTTTTGTATTTTACACGCAGATATTGGTTTATGTACTAACAATAAACGCTGAAAATCATCAAAAACTCACATGTAACAATACCTGAAATTTGAGTCATGAGTATGAAGACAATATTTTGTGGTCTAAAAACTTCAATAACTTTTGCAATTCTGCTCCAAATAACTCGATTTTTGGTTCATTCAAAAGCTGAACTATTCCTCTTCACACTTCATAATGTTAGTAAGGTGCTATCTAGTCATTTAAACACTCTACATATGTTCAAACAGTTCTGCATGAATAGCTCTGTAGGATCTTTTTTAGACCAGCTACAGATGTGATGTTACAATAAAAAATGTAGAGGAAAGGCTCACCTTTTTAATGCACTGCAAATCGGGTGATTTGATTCAGAACTGCAAAAGTTATTGATGTTTGAAGATTCCAAAATCCTGTCTTCAAAGTCAAGGGCCAAATTTCAGGTATTGTTACAGGTGGGTTTTTGATGATTCTCAGCCTTTATTGTTAGTACATTAACCAATATCTGTGTGTAAAATACAAAAAAATACTCGTCATGATGCCCCAACATCTAGGAACAAGGTGCATATTTTTTCAGATTTTTAGCTCTCTTCCTGTTGCCTCAGGACTTTTCTATGTCAGTAGTTTTCTTTACCGCCCGGTAAAGATGACATTTTGTGTAGTGTAATCCTTTCAAATACGCTTACGAAGCAAGGAAGTACAACAAGATGGTAACGTTGGCAGAAGAATTAGCACAATCGAGAAGACTGGCTGAAATCGCTCTAATTAACGGGGAGTCTGGTCCCAGCACAAGGAACAGATCAAGGAACAGAGAAGACGCAAACAACACGGATCAACCCTACGTGGACTACACACACGAAGACGATGATGATCCCCAGAACGACTTCAACGAGCCACCGGAAAACACTAGCGGAGACGAATCAGCCCGGAGCGCAAAGTCTACACAGACCAACCCGCGAGCGGACCCAAGAGAAGGAGTAGAGAGGCTACCAAGAAGGGAGACAACGGAAGAGGAGGAGTCAGTACAGGGGGTAATAAACGCAGAAAGGGACCCTAACCAAGGTAAGAAGATTGCCTTACGAATTCAAAAACTCCACCAGCCCCTTTTCCCTAGTCATGTTGTCTTCAATGAAAATCACAAAAGCCATGCACGTAAATGTACCTGAAGATAGACGTTGAAGTGACCGTCAAGTAGGCAGACGTTGATGTGACCGTCAAGAAGACAGACGTTGAAGTGACCGTCAGTAGGTGCACATGATGTCGATGCGCCCATCAGTAAATAATAGCCCTCAATCGTCCACGACATTGAGGGGGGATGACGTAGATGAGACCGTACCCAGTAGCGCCAGGAAAGCCCATACGAGGGGCAGCAGTTGAGATGTTGAACGGCCCATCCTAAAAAAGAGTGATTTCGTTAAGAAAATCGAAGAGAAGGAGTCCCGAACAAAAAGAATGGGAACTAACAAGACACGTGATCTACACCCCGTACAGACGCCATGCTGGAGAGTCGTAACAGCTGGTGGAGAACCATTGTAAACGCATACGACAACCACGACCCACTCCTAGGGAGAACGATGCTGCATGCCTTTTGCGCGACATACGGGCAGATTCCATTTGATCTGGAAGAGTCAAGAGGCAGAAGAGAAAACCGCGACGCGGAACTCAACCACCATCGCGACCGGAGACCACAAACCGAGTCCTTGATACAAGACGACGAGTTCCTAGAAGAGCTAGTCGACAGGAGGGACACAACCGGTACGGGTGCAAAATCCTCACGGGAAGACAAACCCAGGCACCGGAATCAGGCGCTCAGCTCTGCCCGCATCAGAACCGCAACCCCGTCAGTAAGAGGAAGCCAGCAGAACTCAGGCTCGAAAAAGAAGGAGAGACCCGTAGAGTCATTGTCAGAAGAAGAAGGGAACCTAACAGACCCTGAGAAAGAAATCGTATTTGTAGACGACCAAGAGTTATCCAACAACAACTTACTGAAACTGTCCAATAGTTTCCACCAACGTATGACGAAATTGACGGCCTACGTACCTCTAACAGTGTTCAACGCAGACTGGATTGATAGAGACATTGAAAAAGCTGGTTTGAAGAAGGTGAAGTCAGTAAAGGAGTTACAAGAGGGAGATGACGTGCCAACGTACTCAGGCCTAACACCACAAGACGAGCTCCTCCTTTCTTACGGTGAATGGATGGATTGCATAGACTTGTTCATCAGATACGTCGACGAATTCTACCACATGAAGAGGTTGGCGGAGATGTTCCGAAAGCATAAAGCAATTGTAGTGGACATCAGAAGATCCACATCCTGCTGGATGATCGCACTACGGTACTGCATCAAAGTACGAAAATTAGTCATGCAGAACAGAATCGGAACCAACAAGAAACGGCAGATGAGCAACGCCGGGATTCTGCACCAAGACATCTTACGTGCAGCCAAGGACAAGGCTGAATCGCTAGGGGAACGAGCTTACACAGAGAATCCGTACACCACGTCAGCCGGAGAACCGGATCACTCGAACCCGAGAGAGAGGCCACCTCTGAAGAGAGACTTTGCAACTGCAAGCGGCGAGAACGGGGGATGGAAGAACGCAGCGAACTCTAGACGCAACAACAAAAACAGAAACAACAATCAGCAACGCACTGAGAGTCACAATAACTTCGCACGAAGAAAACCGTGGATCAGAGACAACAACAGTTGGACTCACAACTTGTCAAACGGAAGCTACTACCCTAACCGGAACCCATGCAGCAACAACTTCCATAACGGAAACGGCAGCTACGGCGGAGGTTTCCAGCAGTATGGTGCCCCCCACAGCGGATACAACCTCGGTTACGGACCGCCAATGTCGTACGGGACGGCCACGTACGGAAACGCCTACAACCCCAGTTATAACCAAGGAGGTCCGAGCAACGCGCCAGAGCAGCAAAACCAACTTGCAGTCGTGCCAAAACAAGGGAGCAGTGGCCAGAGCGGAGCCCTGACAGTCGTCAACAGGCAAAACGGCAGCCACAAGCAAAGCTGAACCCCCCCAGTGAACGAGGTAGAGAGAGAGAGGATAGGGGTAGATAGAGGCGTAGCAGTCCGATTGATATATATATATAATCGTTGTTCTAGAACCTATGTCTGCGCGCGAGAGGATGCTGCCGTAATGAATTGAATCTGATGCATTATGTTCCAAAGTCAAGCACGGGAGAAATCCAGTGTAGACACCCCCCCGGGTGGAATAAGCCCACAGAGCAATGCGCTCGAACTTAAAACTCCCCCATCTACGTAACCCCGTCCGCGCACTCCCGTCCCTCGTACCTGCTGAATGACAACCATTGTTAATGATAACCAACGTTTGTTCAAAAAAAAAAAAAAAACAGGAGTCACCTAGAAGAAGCCAAAGCAACTGAACCCAGCGGAACGTCGGGTGAGGTTGTAAAAGGAGAGAGACCTGTGAAGCCCCCGAGTAAGTTCTGGAGAGCAGGCAGAATATGGACGCAGAGAGAACTGACAGAGGACAACTCGTGACATGTAACAGGTGAAGACAGGTCATCGAAAACCAGCTTAAAACCCAACAGGGACTGGCCGACGTCCGTAACTTGCGAAATGAACCTGGGCAAGTGGGAGGAGATGCTAAAACAGCTGGATCTGATAGAGAAGCATAGAAGTACTAGATGGATTCAAGACAGGTTTTGACCAGGGCATCCCCAAGCACATGTTGGAAGGGATGAGGTTCTACTCTCCACCAAACCACGACCGGTCCAATGAGTCCCACGAGATCATAATGGAGAAGTTGCAGAAAGAACTGACCGCAGGGAGGATGCGCGGACCGTTCACGGAGGAAGAGGTGCTAAAGAAGCTGGGGCTCTTCAGGACCAGCCCGATGGGGGTAGTAACGAACGGAGACGGATCGAAACAAATCATCAATGATCTATCATTTCCAAAGCACAAGGACAACATACCTCCCGTCAACTCACACGTTGATAAGAACAAATTCAAGACCACCTGGGACGATTTCGCCCAGGTAGCAATGTTCTTCGCAAACGCAGACGGCGATCTTCTCCTGGGGATATTCGACTGGGAAAAGGCATACCGCCAGATCCCAACAAATCCCAACCAATGGAGGTTCCTGATGTTACGGACAAACAACAACCTTATCATCCTAGATACAAGGGTGTCGTTTGGAGGCGTGGCAGGCTGTGGCAGTTTCGGTGGCCCAGCCGACGCCTGGAAGGATATTATGAAAGCTCACTTTGGTTTTGACGAAGTGTTCCGATGGGTTGATGACAACCTGTTCATAAAAAGGGTCAACGGAGGTAACAAGACAATGATGGAGGACGTAGTTAGTCAAAGTGCCTTACTAGGGGTGAAGACCAACAAAGGCAAATATGCGGAATTTGCGACCGAACAGAAGTATATTGGCTCTATATGGAATGGAAGCGATAAGTCAGTGAGACTTCCCGAGGAAAAGCTAGCGGAACGAAAACAGCAAGTCGACGAGGTGATAAACAAAACCGACTCACACACCTTCAAGGAGATAGAGAAATTAAGGGGTAGGTTGTCACATGTAACAAACATGGTTCCGCAAATGAGATGCTTCAACACAGGCCTAGATCACTGGCTAGCCACCTGGATAGAGAAGCGGGCACCACGAAAGATGCCGACGAGCGTCAGAGAGGACCTGCTGGAGTGGAAAAATGTCCTAAAAGACTTCAAGAACCACAAACTGATTCCGAAGAGAGAGTCGATCGATGCAGGATGGGTCGGGGACGCGGCAACGAGCCACGGCATCGGGGTTATCATAGGCGACAGGTGGGCCCAGTGGCGGCTGAAAGAAGGGTGGAGCGATGAGGACGGTAACAGCATAAGGCGTAACATAGCCTGGGCTGAGACTATAGCAGTCAGTCTTGGACTTGAGATGATGGCGAGAATGGTGGATGTAAGGGGTAAGAGATTCCAGTTCCTGATGGACAACACCACCACAGAAGGGGTGGTCCGAAACCTCAAGTTGAGACACGTCGCAGTAAACCTAGAATGGAGGAAGATACAGAGGAGACTGGCGGAGCTAGATTGCGACCTGGAGGAAAAGAGAGTCAGCTCAGCAAACAACGACACAGACGACTTATCAAGAGGAATTAGAGTTGGGAAGCAAGACGCTGAGAGACTGCAAGTAGACATACCGGAGGACCTGAAACCCTTTATCAAAGCATCAGAAGTGCCCCTCTCGGAAAAACACCACACCGGAACAACTGTAAGTAGTCAGGTTTTGAATCGACATCAGAGCAACAGATAACACATATTGACCACGAATCCAGTCAGTAGACGGCCAACCAACGTAGAGTACAGAGATGACACCTCACCGCCCGAACTTCGCAAGGATCGAGGACGAGATCGCGGACGGCAAGACTAAGCAAATCGCGAGGCATATGGTGAGCGGCTCGTGGGCATCGTCGACTTTGCAGGGGTATTCGAGCGCGGTAGCAAAGTTTAAAGAGTATATAGAGAGCGAGGGGGAAGACTGGGATTCGGCCATCCCCGTACAAGCGGAAGATATCTATGGCTTCATCGTGTGGGCGGGAGAGTCGATTGCAGAAAAAGATTTGTCAGCAAAAAGAACAATACGAGCAAAGACGATCGAAAAGTACCTAGCTGGACTGGTAGTGTGGCAGATGGCCACCAAGCTAACACCCCCCGACCTAAATCAGCGGATGGTGAAGGCTTTGATAAGAGCTTGTGAAAGAGCAGAAGAACAAGCGGGACTCGAATCAAAGGAGAAAATGAAGAAAGACGTAATCGAAGAGAAGCAACCTATTCAGATCAGAGAACTCATCGGGCTAGTCTGTGACCTCGCAGGAAAGTCGGACAAGGAAGAGACGATTGTAACGACGGCCCTCGTAGCATTTTGGGGCATGATGAGACTGGGAGAGCTCACTAGGACGAACAGGAGAGAAGGAATGTTAACTAGGAGGGACCTCGCCTTTGAAGGTCAAGGCAAAAAGAAGGTGGCAGTCCTGACCCTGTGGAAAGCAAAAACCGCCAAACCGGGAGAGTCACAAACAATACAAATACCGTCCCAATGATCTGTGCTCGACCCGGTGGCAGCGCTGGAGCGCCTCCTCGATCGAAACCAACCCTTCGGACAAGATGAGGTGCTGTTCGGTTACAGGTCAGGGAACAAGAGGTTGCCACTCTCGAAGAAGGTGTTCATGGAGTACCTAGAGGAAAGATGGGGAAAGAGTGGGGTCAAACTGGGGGCCTGGTCCGGCCACTCCTTCAGGGTAGGAGGAGCGTCTCTAAAGTGGAATTTAGGTTGGAAAAAAGAGAGAATAATGGAGCAAGGCCGCTGGAAATCAGACGCAATAGATGTTTACCTCAAAGAGTACGCCAAAGACAAGTTGAAAGAAGCTAAAGACCTGTTATGGGCTATAGATCGACGAAACAGAGCGGCCAGGAGATGATCCATGTAGGCACAAACTCGAGGTAAGTGTACAGTTCAGTAGGATGATCACAGGATTAGAGTTACACTGACAGGGGTTGAACGATGTACAGTACAGATCCCAAGCCACCCTCGTGATACAGATGCAAACCTAAAAAAAAAAAAGAAGAAGAAAGAAAGATATATATATGTAAATGACGATTTAAATAAAAAGACTGGAAGAAGTTAAGGCCAGGTAGAGGAAGTTAGAGGGGTAATAAGCAAGGAAGCCAGGAGGAGAAAACGACATAGAGGGGAAGGAAGGCAGACTGTAGAGGGAGGTGCTGCCACACAAACGCTGATGTAATGCAAAAACAGTGTTACGATGCAGCGAGACAGAGAGCTGAGAGACCACTGCGCGCACAACAGAACGCCATAGCGCCAAAGGTGAGGAGATCGCGCCGTGCCCCCTGCGGGTTTAGGGGTGTCCTCGTCATGCCGAGCCCCGCAAGGGCCCGACAGGCGGGAGGTAGACAAGAACACCCGAGTAACCCGAGAGGCCCGACTTGCAACAAGCTGGCCCGTCTTGGTGTGAGTCGGAAAAGTTCCGGGTCACGCAAAACGGGCCTGGCCTGCGGCCGCCTTCCCAAGCACGCTCTGCCTCACAGTAAGAATGTGAGGTAGGGCAAGGATGGGTGTGTATATGTAGGATTACGTATATAGAACTCGATCATGAATGATCTCAAGTCCTAAGAACTTGCCCCTCACCAAATGGATTGGGGACGCCATCCAAGGAACGACATGGCGACGAGTTCCATGACTGAGAGGCGGGTTGTGTCAGACTATAAGCATACATGCTTGTGCCGAGAGGGAACCTTCCAAGGGGAAGGTTCACACCTGTAGAGATGGAGAAAAAAAATTCCCTCCATCCTCACATCCTCTCGCACGTCTGTCCTTGTCCCGCATTGTCAAGAACTCGATTCACCCAACCTTCTGCTTTCATTTCATTTCTACCAAATATATTAATCCTTTCAAATACCACCCACCCACCCAGCGAACTTGTAGAGCTGGCCCGTCTTGGTGTGAGTCGGAAAAGTTTCCGGGTCACGCAAAACGGGCCTGGCCTGCGGCCGCCTTCCCAAGCACGCTCTGCCTCACAGAAAGAATGTGAGGTAGGGCAAGGATGGGTGCGTATATGTAGGATTACGTATATAGAACTCGATCATGAATGATCTCAAGTCCTAAGAACTTGCCCCTCACCAAATGGACTGATGTTATCACATTTTCCCAAGATGATATGGCCTGACACTCCTTATCAGAGACATATCAGTCCATCATTCCAGGAGACACCCTCCCAATTTCATCCTGTCATTCTTCATTCCTTACGATTTCTGAGTATTTTTACACATTTGAGGAAAACTTATGTTGATATTGTCTCACCCTACCATGGGAACAGCTTTTCATGACGATGCTGTAGCCCGACCTCAAATTGCCACTTCTCACCCTTTGTGTTTTTGGATATAGGTAGATAATGCTCAAGGTGGTTTGAGGTGAGTGAGATCTCATGCGCTCAAAACTGACTCATAACTCATCCTATCTATCAAGCCCCATGTCAAAGGTTTTCTCGAGATTTCATTTGGAAAGATGAACCCTTGAGTGGTGTGTCTACACTTCAAGGACCAGATCCAAGTAGAATTTTACATTTGCAAACGTTTTCCATTCTTCTTCAGGATACAACTGTGGAACAAACCATATTGGGCTGTGATAAGCCAAGGTGTGATCATCTTGGAGAGATCAAGAGAGTTGACTTTATAGCCGATAGATGTTTAAGATCATAAGAGTGAGTTCATCAGTGTCTAAGACAGTTGAGGATGAGCGTGATTCTTCTATTGATCCATAACTTCATCTCTTCTTGACCGTATAGACACTCCTCAACTGATTTGACTTCATAAACTCTTCAAAATGGTCAACAGCCTTCTATATTGGCAGATTTTTATAAACTTTCTCATCTTCACTCTCACCGGCACCATCACTGGCTTCCTGTTCAAGACTTCTAGCCCAAAGACCAGCATAGAGGTTGTAGAGAACCATAGAAAAGAAGCTGAAAGGGTCGAATCGCGAGCTCGCCTACATCGTCTATCAGAGATTGATGCTTTATCAGAGCGTTTAGTTAGTTCAGGATTAAGTTGAGTGCCGCCCTTGAAGCTCTTCATCTTATAATCACGTCTCTCCTGTGACTTCGAGGTCTGCCATATAAAAGACAACTTATCATCCATCATTTTTCACACAATTCTCATTGGTTTTCCTCTCAGAACTAGATTCCAACCCATCGGCATCGCCTTCTGTAGAAAAGTCCTGCTACGCCAAAATTTTCTCATCCTCAGCTCACAAGGATAAAAGTACCGATGGCTCTTATTGTGCATTGGTAACTGAGTCAGATTTACTGCGAACCGCTTTTGCAGCTCGATTAACAATATGCGAATTAGATCAAGCTCAGCTCAATATACCTAAAGAATGTTCTATCTGGGTTGCAAGAGATGATGACGACGCGAGGACATGTATCACTGCGCTACATACGTCGCCCCAGTCTTGGTCATCGTATTCCGGCCATCTAAGGGATGCTATTCAATTGTGCTTTGGATACGCGAATCTTCATGGACTTGGTAAGTTCTTTATACAAACGCATCACGCAGAATGATCAAGCGGGTCAGGTGTGACTCATGAACGGCAATTTGTATTCGTTGATCTTAGATAAAGCTCGGGACATCTATGAAAGCACCACGGTGATCGCGAATCAGCTTCTAGTTTCACTGCGCCAACAGGAGGAAGGACGTCAGCGAGATTTCCTACACGTGAAGGAATCCATCACTCAATATTTTCAAAACGAAGCCAGCGCATTCCGAGCAGCTACAGAACGCGATCGGGTACGGCTGGAGGACATCGCCAGCTTGACGCGATCCAATCTCCAATCGTTTCAAAGCTCTTCACAGGCTCATCAGAAGAAATTTGAGGAGCTTGTCAATGGGCTGGAACGAGTGATGATTGAAAGAGATGCACTTGATCGAAGAGATAGGGCTGTCGACTTTTCAAACGGTCTTGACCGCTGGCGCTCTTCGGCCGATTCGGTAGGTGCTGCCTACTGACTATCTCACTGTCGTGGAAAGCTGAAACCTTTCTTGTGTAACTCTACCTTCAATTAGATTTTACGCGGGCTTGCTATGGAGGTGGACACTGGTTTATCGACCCAGCTCGTCGCGCTGAAAACGGAACTACCCTCGGTGATTGAGTCCAAGCTCAATCACAGCCTTCAAGCCCTCGTCAGCTGCTTGGAACTGGTACGTCCCGATTTCGCTATTTCTTCCGATGAATTGATATCAACTAATCTCAAATATCAACTCTTTGCCGCTTAACCGGCCTGATAGAGGTTTATGGGTTTGGCAGAGTCTTTGGGACAGACTCACGAAGAAAGCCTCAATGGTATTAAGGATGTCATATTGATACAGCATGGTGAAATGGTAGAAGCTTTTTGACCCATCGAAAAAAAATTGTGTGTAAGTGACAAGTCCGTAACAAAGAATACTGACGATGTATGCGTCTTGCTAGGCTGATTTGACTCAAAGACTTGCATCGATCAACGGCGGTTTCATAATGATCGAAGATCGTTTGAAGGGCTTTGACCACAGTTCCAACCAGATAGCTTTCTCTTTGAACCAATCACAATCAACGATTGTAGACGTGGAGGTAAGTGCATCATTTTTGCTTTTCTCTGTACCGTCTTTCGTAAGATCAAGCTGAAGGTCAATATCTTGTCATTATCTAACAGTATCAAATAAAACTCGTAATGGCCAACTTGTTCAAGGAGTTGGACACGCAGATCGCAGTGATGGATAATCTAACTGCTTCTCTGGTTGGCTCTATCGGTATTATTGATCACACTGCATTCAAGAGCATCAGCTTTCTCTTCAGCTGGCTGAAAAGCGTTGGTCAGGAGACTATTCTTTGCATTCCGCGTTGAATGACTAGAGTTGAGAGTGAAAATGAAGAGGCGTCTGACTTTTACTCCAGGCGCGCTTGTTTTTGAATCTTTGATGAGCTGGACCGTTTTGTCTTACATCATCTACCCAGCTACTCTCTATGCCTCAAAATGGCTGATCAAATTCAGTGTTGTAAGTCATCATCATGGACATTGTTCTGATTGAAATCCGCTCTGAACAATTCCCCAATGAACTTTTTGCCATATAGATGGCAGTTTTATGCGTCGTAATTTCGTCCGTGAAAAACTTGACAAGATCCAAGAAGAGGAGGTGGAACCAGAAGGATGCGCGGAGAGGGTTTCAAGCTGGTGCTGTGATGGACTTCGGGTGAGTTTTTGCTTAATATCTCTAGCTTCATGCCAATCATCAAATGGTATCACTCGTCTGATTCTTCCGCCGAAAATCCCTCCATCAAGCGACGATCCGGAGGTCTCGTCACAAACTATGACATATCCTTCACATCTTGGCGCATCGGATGTGCCTCAAAGGTTTCCGGGTCTACAAGCACAAAGCCCGGACGTGTATACTCTCCAACGATACGAGCGAGTACAAGCGATAGCGTGTATCAAAGAGTTCAACGCAATTTCTACAGGTTTAAAGAACATCAATGGATCGCTGGGTGCACTGCGACCAAACCGATTGGCTCAAAGTCGTCTTCATCCCCGCACTTCTTCGAGAATTGTACCTAACCGACTGGTTTCCAAAAAGGCATGATTGAATTTGGTAAGTGACGGACTATCCACAAGATGAAACCTTTTAAGCCCAGTGTGAAGCTGGCACATCAAGAGTATCATTCAACTTCAGGCTACCGTGACTCCAATTGCTTCTCTGTATCATATCTCTCTCAGTAACGGTTTTATTTTGAAATATCTCCTCTTCTTTTGTTTCAAATGACTTATATATATAAATATTGATTGATGGAAAGTATTTACAGGCTGTGCTCCTTGTAAACACAACCCAAGCTGATTTCCAGGTAAATTACAAAGGCTATAGTATGCAAGACAGATCAGTACCAGAATCCAGAGATTCTGGGAACCACCTAGAGTTTTTGATCAGTGTTATGCCAAGGGCCTTGGATCCAACATTGCAAGATCCAAAGATTCAAGTGTGTATCATCTCAAGGGATCAAACAGTCAATGAATTGAACAGAGCACTGCCAATTTGATTTGTTGACTGGTCATTCAGTCTGCATAGCATAGGGATTTTGGTGTTCAACATAAACCATAATTCATACCAGGAAAAGTTGTATGAACACGTCCCTAGGTTCAAAGCCTTTATCAAAGTCTTGATTCTCTTAATGTGCGATCAAGTCAATCAGCTGGGTTGATGACAAGATTGGCGTGGTTTATATGAAGGGTCCCTGAATTTGGATGACATACTGGCAAAAAATGAAGATCATGCATGTGATGTGGTACATGATACATATTACTACTGGTATAGGAAAAGCTTTCAACAACATACATGACAAAGCCTTGCACACAGCCTTTGCTCCACCCTGAAGTCTTGTCAGATATGTCTGCTGATTGTGCTCCTGTGATGATCAAGTATTTGATTGAAACATGGAAAGGGATGATATCCACTTCCTTGTGCACATTGGAGCAATCAACCTTGTTGTTGCTGGATGATTTGTCCAACAGCCATCCAGGGGGATTTTTTCAACCTCTGAAGTAGGTCATCTTCTTGTAGGTTTGGCTAACTTATGAGGACAATCAAAAACAAAAAAGAAATCTATGCACACAATGTGGGTGAGTTTCTTGTCTCCTCAGCATTCAACATGTCCAGGCTGATTGGAAAGTTAAACAGGATCTGCAAGGAAGAAATGTGCCAAATTCAAGCCATTGAAATGACTCTGTGGGCCATCTTCTTGTAGGTTTGGCTAACTTATGAGGACAATCACAGCTAAAAAGAAATCTATGCACACAATGTGTGGAGAGTTTCTTGTCTCCTCAGCATCCAAACTGTCCAGGCTGATTGTAAACTTAAACAGGATCTGCAAGAAAGAAATGTGCCAAATTCAAGCCATTGAAATGACTTCACATATTTCAGTAGCAAGTGTATTAACCTGGGATGGTGCACTGCATCACAGATGCTTTACCTTATCATTTTTGAGGCTCAACCCAATTCCAATTGAGTGCTGCAAACGCTTTCAAGGATCTTTATGTCCAAGATGGCAACTTACTTTTTGTTCATGAAATAACAGGGTTTAGTTAGACAACGGTGGCTCGCTAAGCTAAGCTAAGGTTATTCCCACACTTGGCTTAGCTTAGCAATGCCCCGCTAAGGAATGGCGCGCTAACGCTAAATCTTAGCGCATTACCGCTAAAGCTAAGACAATAGCTTAGCGGTAAAAATTTGATGCTGCTAAGCTTTGTCAATAGCTTAGCGCGGTTTTTTCAGCTAAACCGCTAATTAGCGGCTTAGCGCGACTTTTAGGCACAAAACAAATAAATCTTATTTTTTATTCAAGACAATCAAAAATAAAAGAAATGTTCATTTTAGAATAACCTTTGCAGCATGCTTAGCTAGCGTACTGGCTACCATTACCCATTCACCCACCAGTTCAACCTTTTCACGGAGCCACAACAGGCTACCCACATTCCTCTCAATGGTTTGTGGGGCCAATCGACCTCGATTCGCTGAGCAAACATCAGCAGCGGCTGAAAAAGATCTCTCAACCGCTGCAGATGAAGCGGGGATTGCAAGGTAATCGCGTGCCATTGACGCAAGGACCGGATAGATATGTTCGTGATCCTACAAACAATGGCATTGCTGATTAGCAATGTGTTGTTTCAGGCGCATGTAGATACAAAGGAAAATCAATACTAACTTTCCACCATTTCAATATGCAATCAGGATCGATTGCGCCATCTTTGAGCACTGGTAATAGGGGATGATCGCCTTTCAAGTACCTCTTAAGCTCATCCTCGCGCTCAGCCTGAGCATCGTGGGTGAAGAGTTGATAAACAGATGAAACTGCGCTGGTCAAGCTTGATGAGGTAGGTTGCGTGTTGTGCAACGATCGCTGAGAGTTGAGGTCCGAGTGCTCAGTTTTGCGGACATTGAATGTGCTTGTAAATGCTGTGAGACTCTCAACAGACTTGGAATCTTGGGGGCCAAAGGTTTTTTCGAAGAATCGGTGGCGAAATAGTGGGTTCAAGATGGTCGCAAATACAAGACTCTCACACTTGAGAGCTTCATTCCAGTACTTTTCCATCCAGATGACCATCTCCGCAAACATAGGATACAACGGGTCATCTTGTTCTAAAGCAGCCTGTTGTTTTTTGAGAGATTCCAACAAGATCGAATACTCTGGTAGGACAATTGATCCATTCGGGCTGTTCTCCTCAAACCGTTTAGTCAACAAAAGAAATGGCTGTATTGATACAGGCAAAGTCAGTATCAATCAGCTGATGGAAGTTAAATTGATACATACTAATAGTTCTTCATTGAGAGCATTGAGATCCTCCCAGTCGCGACCATTGAAAGTTATACCTTGAAAGTATGCCGCTTTCTTCACATCGGTACCTCGCCGACGGTTTGTCGAGTGGAATTTGGCCAGGTCTTTGCTAAGAATCTGATCAATAACCTAAAGTGAAAATGAATACACCATTAGCAGAAATCACAAGTATACAAGATGATTAGATAGATACATAGACTTACCTCACGTGCCTCATAAGCTCGTGATTGGCGGTCATAGTCAGCGTTCCACCGGATACCATAACCTGCAGATAAAGGCCGTACAGAGAGGCCTTTGGCCTTCATTCGACGTTCGAAAACTCGCCTCCAAGAAGCACTTCGGGTCAAGCGGCGACACACTGTGAGACAGTTCTTGTACAGAGTTGCCATCATGTTGGATGATGGAGACCGACTTTCAGGTGGGTCCATAAGAGACTTGCAAATGCGTCGAGTTTCGTCATCTTTGTCTGGATCATCGACATCGGAGACCTCTTCTGAGTCGCTATGATGATCTTCCTCAGGAAGCTCATCAGGTTGGTGATCCGGTTCTTCATCTTCATCATCAAGGTCAATTGCCACACTATCATCATTTTCATCTTCTTCCTCTTCTATAACGGGCATGATATCGACTACAGGGAATCGTCCAAGTACTACCTCCTTGTTCGCAGGCCCAGCGCGTGCATTGATTCCTAAGGCAGCAAGTCCATGCTTGACAACAAGACCGAGCTTGTGACAAGCACAGAAATGGTGCATACGCTTCGGGTCCCATGTGTACGAGTTTGTCCATTTGGCCATCGGTTTAACTGATTTGATAGTTTCAGTATTGGAAAGCATTTGTGATTGTGAGTTGTTGATATCGGTAGTTGATGTTACTTCGGAGCCGACTTGTTCGGATAGAGCCTGAAGTTGCTTGTGCATCTCTCTGGACATGGTGTTATTATTCATACCTGAGTCAGTAACTTGAGCGAGCATGTAATACAATAATAAGATTTGATGTTAGTTGAAACTTAAAATACAATTGATTGAATTTGAAAAAATAATCTACTTATCTTAAGATACAGATTATCTTTCTTCAGAATAGTGACTATCGGTTCAGCCAACCATTGGCCATGGTGATGCCAAGCGACCCTCTTCAAACTCAGATGCCTGACTTTGTATTGCCAACTCGAATCGATGAAACTAACGGAAACACCACTGAAGGCGTGTGCGTTACCCTTCGTGGTCCACACATCTTGAACAAGCGTGAACTGACTGTCAAGATTCTGTTCATTTCAAAAAAAAAAGTTAAATCAGATCACTTGATCGGAAAGAAGAATCATAAAAGAAGAAACACTTCACCTGAAGTTCAGTGTGGATTGATTCTCGAAGCGAAACATATAATTGTTTCGCTTCTTTAGCCATCCACTTCCGCTTATAAATACGTACTCCTGGTCGTGCATAGTCCAATGCAGCACGTAAGGCTGGATCCTCAATCCGTTTCCAGGGTAGAGCTTGCTGGACCAGCCACAGACAAAGCATTCGATTCATTGTATTAACCTCGTACTGCGATTTTGATTGTTCGATGCCGAAGGAAGTCAGTGTAGTTTGAGATTTATCCTTTTCGAGTTTCTTCAATGCAGCAACTGTTGGTGGGAGACTCGCGCCAGCTTTGATTGCCCGATTTCGGTGAGGACACGCAACTGATCCTGATTCGGTTTGTGGATTACCATCCCGATGAACCTTGAGATTGGCTCGAGGGTTGCTTGTACTGACTCGGATACCAGTCTTTCCGCACCAGAGACACGTGTGGTTGAGAGGTTTTTTCGACTTGTCCTATTACATAGAAGTGATTGTTAGCTGGAAAGAAAAAACAATACACCTGAACAAAACTCACCTCGTCCTTCTTATGAGTCGCTTCAGAGAAATAAAGCAGCACATCATCATACCCATCTTCGTCCTTGTCCTTAATCTTACTAGCTCGAGCTGATGCCTTGATTCTTTCGATTTCGCTGTCAGAATTCTGTTGGAGAGCGGCACGATCCATGTCTTCGTTCTACATTGACATAGAACCAGGTAAGTGTATTGAACAAACTCAGTGTAAGGTTAAAGGTTTGTGAGTTTCTCACCTCCGTTCCAATTTGACGATTAGCTGCAGGTGTCTTCCGATTCTTTTTTTTCTTTTGTTTCTTCTTATTCTGAGTAGCAGTCGAATCCTGATTTGTATCGTGAGTCTCGGTCTCTGAATCACTTATAATCGTTTTCTTTCGCTTATTTGTAATGATGTTTGAAGTTCCGACAGATCTGCGTGAATCGGAAGAGGGTTGAATCATACCCGGTGGTCTTGATCTGGGTGTGATGATACGGCTTGTTCGACGGATGGGATTCGGAAGATTGGAGTCTTCATCTTCATTTGGATTGGGCTGAGTGGTTGGTTGGGCTTGAGAGCCAATAGGGGTGACGTTGCGGCTGGATCGACAAGTGGTGGGATTCGAGACATCTGCGTGATGATTGGAGTCATCCATGTTTGGTGGTGAATAAGGAAAATAAAAAAAATAAAATAAAATAATCTCAAGATATGATTACGAGACCGGACACTGGACAAGTCCGAGGCTCGGTATCAAACATGTCCGGATATGTATAGATATCCTACTGGTCCGTAGGAAAGTCGCTAAGGGCGCTAATTAGCGCCCTGGACCTCGCTTTAGCTCATAGCTTAGCGGTACAGCGGTGCGCTAAGCTAAATAGCTTAGCTGTGTCCCGCTAAGGAATATTTGAAAATGTCTTACTTTAGCTGAGGTCCGCTAAGAAATTTGCGCTAACTTAGCGGCCAAATAACGCTAAGCTAGCGCTAAGCTAAGCGCTAAGTTAGCTTAGCCGAGCCACCGTTGAGTTAGATATGCCACAATCACATTCTCTGTTCAGAATCAGGGTCTCCTCCCCATTCCTGGTAAAAAAAAGATCATATCCTATGATACAGGCCTTGGTGCCTGTTCACCAACCAACAACACATCAGGGGTGTAAAAGTTTCTTTGATTTGCCATTGCTTTAACATTCCACACCAATTACATGTCCTATCATTCTGAGTATCTATGGTGACAAGCTATTTTTTCATGTCTTGTACATTCATCTGATCTTTCCCCCTGGGCTGCTTGAATATTGCAACCACTCTGGTTACATTTGACTATTCCAAAATTAACTTCTCTATCACACTTTTTGGTTCTTTTGGTATGTTTTCTACACAAGATATCAGCATTGCATGCTTCTTTTTCCACAATATACTCAATTTTACCCCTACAACCGTTTATACTGTTGGGACATCTTTTCCCTATATGACTAACCAACCCCTGACAATTGTTACCAAGTGGACAATCTTTCAATAAGATTTGAACCCGAGCAGTAGAACTTTCATCTTGATTGAATGGACAATCAAGTCTACATAATCCTACTTGTGCTACTCCAATGATGAGCACTGACATGGTGACAAGTGTGGGTGGTGATAATAATTTCATGGTGTTGCAGCAAAGGGTTTTGAAGAAATTGGTATTGACTTTTTCTTGGAAAGATGCAGTTGTTTTTCAAAACCAGTCAGTTGTAGAGATGTTGAGAGGATGTCAGATTTTTGTAAATTTTCAAACTTCTAAGCTTAATATTATGTTCTAGTTCTCAAATTCAACTTTGATAGATGTTTTTGTTGATGACTATAGTGCCTTTGTATTAGATATTTACTCAAATATTTAATCTTTGATGATGAATTTAAAATAGGAGCTGTCAGATATGGAGCTAAACTTCCTAAATCTTTGAGGAATGTGACAAACCAATCAATCTTGAATTAGAGTTTAGAATTATAATTATGAATCTAGATCAAGTCAATGGTTTTTGAGATGATGAGAAAATTGAAAGATGGCCAAGGGAGAAGGGGTTTATATACCTTTCCTTCCTCATTTTCCTGGTGGCAAAGTTGTGGTTTGCTGTGTTGGCCAAGCTTTGGTTTGCTGTGGTTTGCTGTGGTTGGAATTATTTGGTTTAGATTGCACCATTGAGTTATGCCTTTGTGGCAAATCTTAAAAAATGGCTCAAAATTGGCTATTCAATCTTGCATTTGGAATCCAATTTTGGGGACTTATATCCAAGACATGCTTCACCTTGTGCATTTGAACTATCAATCTGTGGGAAGTTTCCAAAAATGGAAATCCAAGTACTTGATTATTCTACCCTGCAGGCTCAAGCTCAGTTGACATCAGTACAGAAACCCAGGACTTACATGATCAATCTGTTGTATCATTTTGATAATGGAAATTTGAGTGATTTTTTTAGACATTCAGATTGGAACCCAGTTTGGGTGGTAAGGACTTGCATCATGCGTAAAGGTACCTTATGGTCATGTTGAAAAATACTTACATACTTCAAGGTTGTGAATGCAGTGAACATGGAGCTTGAAGTACTCATTGAAGCAATTAGAGATACAACTGACATGAATGTGATCCCAGAATAAAACCAATAGAAAGCACAAGAAGAGTGTATTACTATGTAATCTTATCAAATATTGTGACAAAAGATAGAAGTTTATGTGTTTCTCCACACTTTTTTGCACCTAGGCACCACTTGGCCCGCTGGGTGTGGGTTTTTCAGAACAAACTGCTACAAGCTGAAATTCTGCTGTTTCATCCAAGTTCATCAAAATTTATTCTGCATTTGTATTGCTGGAGCTATTTACCACAGCAGATTTGCTTTTAAAGGCAAGATAGATCAAAAATAGTTGTTATTAAAGTCTCATATTGTTGTTAACAAGTTCAATATTGGTGATTGGACATAGAAATGTCTTGGTGTGATTTTCAAAAAAGGTGCACCAATGGCGTGTTTTTCACGCCACACCCACAACCTGATAGGGGACACAAAGTAGAATCTGGGCACGCCCCTGGCCTTGCGAGCAGAATTCTTTTAGCTGTAAATTTGAATTCTGGCCCAGAAAATCCAAATTTACACCCAAAATAATTCCAGGCACAAGGCCGGGCATGTGTCTGGATTCTACTTTGTATCATGTAGATGAACCAATTTCTTGATTGAGCCCAATCTGAGGATGGCAAATGTTGAACGTGTGCTGAAAGCAACAAAGCTTTGGTGTATGTTGATGTCTTCACAAAGATATGGTAGCAAGGCCATAAGACAGATGGTGATCAAACATCATATCAACTTGACACAAATAAGGCGGGTGGTCACAACACCAAATCAACAGAATTGCAAGTGCCCGCCCGGAATATCGAGCCACACAGGATAGTGTGCAATTGATTGATTGAGAGTAAAGACGGATCAAATTCGGGCGGTCAGAGTTGCAAACAGCGGGCTGGACTTGGCATTTTCCTTGATTGTTCGCACTTTGGGGTTTTGACTCATTTGACCCTCCACAGCCACCGTACTATCCCGCGTGAAAGGCACAAAAAAGTGATTGTCTGACATCCTTTAAATCCACCCGTGCTCAACTGCATACAACACCTCTTACATCAATAGCAGGGACCATCAGGACCCCGGAAAGCTCCAGGTAAACTATCCGACCTAAAATGTATGGATCGAGGGTCCAAAAAAACGCTGACGTACCGACGAAAAAGGAATTTTTTGGGTCTTTTTCGAGCAAAAACCCGTTTTTTTTAATTCAGACGTACCGACCTGACAGGTATGGATTTGTCTTTGGCCGGAAAAAAAGGCCAAAAACACTCCCTTTTCAACGTACATACCGACGAAAAACGAATGGATTCATCTCGTGAGGAAATTTTAGCGATTTTTGCTCTTTGAACGTACCGGCGAAACCGGAATTGTTTGACCTCAATTTTTGGGTTTTTACCGCGTCACAGGGTATTGAAAAGGTCAATTTGGGTGGTTTTAGGTCGGATAGTTGACCTGGAGCTTTCCGGGGTCCTGGACCATCCCCAATCTGTGTTCATTCATATCAAAGTACCATTGGCGCTATCGGCAGATCGCAGGCTCAAGCGTAGAGCACTAAAGCACCGACATATGACGTAGTGAATGAAAGAATATGTATGTGAAATTTTCGCCCAGCCGCAACGTTGAAGCAAGGAAACAGCTCATTCAGATAAGCCAACCACCGAGCTGTTCCTTCGTTTTTTTCATTTTGACAAACCTCCTGGCTACCTCAAGGTCCTCTCAAAGGATCCTTTTATGACTTAAATGAACTGCCAGCGGCTGGCAAAGGCCGCTACTTCGGATTACATATTTATAGAAACAAAGTCCCACACTGTCGCTCGCGAGAGCTTGGGGCTCGGGTCGCGAGAGACAGCACGGGAGTCGGACTTTGTTAAGTTTAGCTGCACTTGATCTCGGCATTATGTAAACTCAAGTTCTACCAAGTCTCCACAGGTCTCCACTCGCTTTGCTCAGCACAGCTCAGCACCCTCTGAGGCTTGAGCTGAGATTTGCTTGAGCTGGTTGGTCATTCGGACTGTTGGCCGGTGAAAGACACAACTCATGACATGTTTCAATCCATCCGGCATGATTGAACCTTCTTTTCTTTTCTATGTATTCGTATTGTTGCGCTAGACCTCGTTATAGATGCTCTGTGACGTTTGGGGGATTTGAAAAATAGCTTGCTACAACCCCATTTTCATGTCTGGGTCCTGTCGCTACTGTAGTGGAACAAGCACGTTTATATCGATAATTTAACCATTCATCCTTAGCTTCAGATTCTACATTGTACCCTCAAAATGTCTCCTTTTCTCCGATGTGCAACGGTGGTTTATGATCGTGTCCCGATCTTCAACTATCTTGAACGATCCCCGGACCTCAACCGGCAATGAATTGTTCTCTTGTTCGAACTTCCCTGGCCTCGAACTCCTTAACATTCTTGTTGGTCTACACGCTAAACGCACATAAACATGCAACTATTAACACAGATATCATGAACGATCAGTTGTAGTTTGTGGATAAGCTTGAGTAAGTGCATACATGCTGGTCACCTCTTGTCCATCATCTTCATCCCCCCTCATATATGCATCGTAGAGTGCTATCAGGGGTTTCATCCAGTGAAGATATCTTCCAAGTTCACTGCAAGTATTTATTAGACTTGGAAGGAGCATTCGATGTTGTTTCGCATCTCGAATCCTGTCTCTTGAACCTCGAGAAGCCTGTTAACCATTGTGGATTTAAATGATCGAAGTACTGTAAACATATGAAGATAGGATAGTCATATTCGAACTGAGCTTATTGAAGGCTCATCCGGGTATTGATCATTGGGATTTTCTTTATGCAACTCAATCTAAGATATATTCACTGGTTTGTGTAACTACGGAATGTATGCAGGCTTTCTGCCCACGTTGGCCACTTCGGCCTTTCTTCCTTGCCCCTCATCTGTCATGTTATGGCTCATTCAGAACACCCTTAAGTCGACTCGCAAGAAAGGCCCAATTGAGGATCATAAATTAGAAACTTATGGCAAATGTGTCTGACTATGATTTTTTGATATATTCATCTTCATAATCAACACACAGGCGAGTCAAGGTTTCCGGATCCCCCTTGAGCAGACTAGTAGCGATGAGACCGAGGAAGAATTAGGTTACTTTGTTTTATCAAGAGTCTTACTCTTTACGTGCCATCCATCAAATCCAGAAACGACCTTCAACACAGCTTGATATCGAAATGTGTAGAGACAACCGTATGTACATAAAATCAAACGATCGAATGAGAATACGACACTAATCAACTCATGATACAGTTCATCATCTTTCGCTTTGCTCTGCTTTGCTTTTTTAGGATCTTTATCGATTTGTACCGTCGAAAAGCGATCAATTGCAGACGTCAATGTTTGATCGAATTGGCTATTGGTGTGAGATAATTTGATTAATGACCCTCTTTAGCTTGCTCTTTACTAACAAACACGATTGGACGAGCTCGTCATGACAATTGCAGTTCATGCCACAATGATGTTTGTAAGCTTCCGTCAAGGCTTAGGGAGCTCGAGTGGGATCTGAAATCGCATGTTTTTTTCTCTCGCTAACCGTCGGTGGGTGTGCACCGAAGGCATTGTGGTTACTTACCCTCTTTCACACCAACTCTGGTCGTTTTTTCATTTTACTCAGCTTGTTCGTTGTGCAACCAATCCCGTGCAACCGCTACCACCTAGGCAAATTGTTGACCCTTCAAACCCATCAATTCCTTTTTTATCATTCTCTTTTCCTTTTCACACTCGATAGACTTGATTCCTCTGTCTTCCTTTCACTATTGCCGACGGAAAAAAAAACTCCATCAGGGTTTATGTAATCGCCCTTCATCATCGTTAATTATTTCCCTATATCATAATTTACGATCGAAGAGCAGCAACAATTCTAGACACTCATTGCTCTGCATACTTCAGTGGTGCTTTTGAACCCCCTCTTGTCCAACCATCAGTTGCATCTCATCCAAATTACCTCCGGGAGTCTCATTACAGTGTCATCTCCACCTCGCAAGATTCTCCTATTGCCATTTTTGTAGTGTTATCTCAATCTGATACCAGATTTGTATCATTGCAATCGCTCCTGCAGCTTCAAGAGCAGTTACTACATCCAGTTCGAGGTAATGTAGATCCTTTTCTTTTCTCCTCATCCTCACACATCCCAAAGGCACTATTTATTTACCATACTAGTCAACTCTATCATATCATGACCTAAAGGCTGATAAATTCTCCTTCAACAATTATCGCTTTTCAAGCTTCTATCCACTGGCTTCTCGATTCTAAGTTTAAGGTCGTGGGCGTCATTATAGCAGCACTTGAAGCTTGTTTAGCAGCAAACGGCCATTTTATTGGATAAACACCCACCACATCACAAGATATTCCACTCGTTCGCTTTCCGCGCGACAGGCGGAGAACGAATTGGTGTATTCAATGTCAACTCCATCTCGACCCACGGACCAGTCATCATCTTCAGAAAAAGACAGTCCCTCCGCCAGTGACAAGAAGCAAAATGCTTTACTTTCTCCCTCTCTTCCATCTTCTATCTCTAACGCTTCTTCTAGTTCGACCAACAAAAAGCGTAGGGTCCAGTGGGTGGGTCTGAGTGAGAAGGATTTCGACGAAGAGCGACGTGCAAGCGTTCACTCTCTTCAAGATCCTTTCCAATCTCCACTTGACCCTGACTCTCCTACACCCACACCGACGCCTTTAACCTCTACTCCAGGCGTAACGTCTTTCCTTCTCCCAGCTCCTATCAGCGGTATTCCCCCACCTCGGCTCTCGACTGGGATCCCCCACCTTACACTGTCTATGCCCGAAACGGCTTCTGTCTCTGAGGTTCCTCTCCGCTCCAAGTTCAATCCTTACTTCCCTCCCATCCCAACTGCCACGGAAACCCAACAACAACCCCCTTCGACTGATCCTTCGAACTCCACCAATCTTAACCGCCCTTTCCGCCGAAGGGCTGATCCAATGAACACACCCGACTCTAGTCGACCTGCTACGCCTGACTCTGACCTGGATATCGTAAGCGTTTTTGTTTTGTTTTACTCACTCTCACAATTGGACTCAATCATATTGAAATGCTTTCTTCCTCTTTCCAAAGCCATTCGGCGAACGAGATGGTTTACCTTCGAATCCTGATCGACGTCCGCGGACTTTCACGCGCGAGGCCGCCAACTTGGTTTCTTTGCACAAGTTCAAGCTCGGTGCCCGTCGACGTCGACCCTCCTTTGGCACCTTACAGCAGCCACAAGCCAGTGGTTCTGGGGCTCCCAGCGCTAACGCTCTTCCTCGACATGGGATGCCAGTCGGCAATGGTGTTCTCAGTTCTCTCCTTCATCTCTACAATCACCCTATCAGCGCACAGTCTTCTTCGACTACACTTATCACATCCGTTGGCTCTGAAGACGAATCTGAAGCTGGCAGTCAAAGCGCTAGAACCTCTGCTGAGAAACCTCGGCGACTTTCCCGTGGCTGGGCCAAAGTGGCCGGAGCCTTGATGAACGAACGACCGGCTGCAGCTCGCTCTGGCGCTGGAGTGATCGGAGCATTACAAGCTAGTGCGATGGGCTTAGGGGGTGTAGCTGCTCCAGTTGCTTCCACTGTTGCTCCTGTAGTCCATAAAACTGGATTCCGTGTGGGACGGTATAGTCCTGCTCATGAAAAACCCTCTGCAATCCCTGCCCCGTCAGACAATCCCTACGGACCAACCTATGAAGCCAAGTTTCCGAGGAGGAATAGTACGTCGGTAGACGATGTGGCCGTTCTTCGTCGAATCGCCAGCGAAAGCCATGTCAATCAACTCTCTCCTCCTGCTACTGGCACCAAGAGTCAATTTGGTGGTATAGCTTCGAGTGCAAGTAGTTTGTTTGGAGTATCTATTGGTGGAGGTAAATCACATATATCAAAGTCCGGCAGTCTGGTCAATTTAAAAGCCCTAGGTGAAGTACTCGACCCTAAAACATACCACAACGAATCTGCGGTCCTACGTGCGAAACGGACGGCTGGAGCCTTTAGCTCTGGTTCTACTCCTGGCACACCTCGAGACGACCCCTTTAGTGAGAAAGAGAAACCTGCTCGTCAGCATGCCACACGACGACGGCTGGAGAAGCGACGTCAGGAGGAAATCTTTATTACCATGCATGTCGCAGCGATCCTTCAAAGGCAACAATTCATTCTTCAATTGACCCGAGCCATGATGATGTTTGGTGGACCATCTCATAGACTTGAGTCTCAGATTCAGGCGACTGCACGAGTGTTGGAAATTGATCTACAGATGGTGTTGATCTATTCGTGAGTGACTCACTTGTGTACAAGGGAACTTGAAGGTTTAAACTTACCTGATCCTGCATATAGACTATGTATCTTCTCCTTCCAGGACGAAGCTACGCATACGTCCGAAACAAAGTTTATAAAACAGTCTCCCAACGTCGATCTCGGAAAGCTCACCGACCTGGCTATCTTACATTGGGAAGTCGTACACGACAAGATCGGAGTTCAAGAAGCATCTGCCGAGATCTCTCGTCTTATGCGAGCAAAACCTGAGTATGGCACTCTGGCTACCATCGGAATCGGTGCTTTGTGCAGCGCATGCATTGGTCCAGCAGCATTCAATTCAAGTTTCCTGGATATGCTCGTCGCGGCTCCACTCGGGGCCGGATTAGTAGCCGCTCAGTTATTGATCGCATCCAAATCCGACGTACTTTCTCAAATCTTCGAGATCGTGGTGACAGGCTTAGCAAGTTTCATTGCTGCCGGATTGGCCTCAACCGGTTTATTTTGTTATTCGGCTATCATCGCATCGTCCATCGTTCTTATCCTTCCAGGTTGGTTAGTTTGTTGTGCTGCTTTAGAGCTTCAGAGTCGATGCATCGTAAGTGGAAGTGTGAGGTTGATCTGGGCAGTGATCTATGCATGTAAGTCATTCAGTCTTCAACCTTTTTATCGAGACAGCAAATGTGCCAAGTCGAAACCAGAAGCTTACTTGTCATCTTTCCGATTTGTGAACAGTGTTCTTAGGATTGGGTATCAGCGTTGGGGCACAATTCTGGACTTTATTCTCGGGCCATGACGTAGAGTTGGCAGTAGATGGAACGTGCGGAAATACTCACACAGACATCTGGTACCGCAAGACCATCCCTCTATGGTCGGCGTTTATAGTCGTACCGGGTTACGCATTTTTTCTAGCGCTTCGTCAACAAGCCCGACTTAAAAGTAAAGAGCTTTGGGTGACGATTCTTCTTTCTAGTGGTGGATGGGCAGCAAATCATTTTGCCTCTATAGCTTTTCCAAATAGATCTGATATCAGCTCTGCACTTGGATCTTTTGTCGTTGGATTTGCGGCTAACATATATGGAAGGATGTTCCAAGGTACTGCATTTATTGTGGCACTTGTACCTATCCTCTTCCAACTTCCATCTGGTCTTGGGAACGGTGGACTTTTATATTTCGCCAACACACGTGAATCAACTCAATCATTTACCAACGGATTATCGGTGGGCCAACAGTTGATTGAAGTCTCGCTTGGATTGGTAATTGGATTGTTCGCTGCGACAGTCATCGTTTACCCTTTTGGAAACCGGTGAGTCCAAGTTTTAATAATTGCAGAGCAAGTCAGATGTTTTCCTCGAGACTCCACTTACTAATTTGAGTGAATTTTCTTTCCTTCCTTTAGTCGAGGGGGACTTATGACCTTCTAAACATCTGTGATATACTATTTCATCGCTCTGCGCATCTTCATGAAGACCTTCAAAGATCAAATGTGCTTTTCCACGATTCACAAGGTCCTCGATCGCTTAACTTATCCTCTATCCGCCCTTTGTCATTTCACGATCACGCTTCTCATCAATAGCCACATATATGCATCTTTCGCGGTCACATCTTTTTGACCACTGTAGTCGAATGCTGTCTGACTATCAGTCCGATAAAGTCTCCCACCTACTCCCATCTTATGATACGTTGTTCTAAGTCTTACAAAAAACCTCAGTTTTGGTTGAATTATAGTCGTTCTTATTTTTTTAGTCCATGGTTTTATTTCCTTGTTGTTTGTCATGTCAAATAGAGTCAACACATAGTCCGAAATCTATAAAATATTAGTAATTCTCATTTCATAGATGTTTTCCGTAAACTTGTGAGTTTTTTTTTACATATTTTCTTTCTTGGCAATTAGACATTAGAGCCAAAAAAAATATTATTTTATGTTTCTTGAAGAACCTATGTAAGATTTGGTAATATCTGACATTCAAATTGAGTTTCCATTACTTTTACTTTTTCATTTGTATTTTTGTTAAATTTGAACATTGTTTATAGAGATTTTTATGGTCGAATAATCCAGGACACATCTAAACCTGAACTAATAGCTTGATTACATTTGTCCTCTTGATTTGACCAATCCCTTCAAAACCTGATCTGATTTCAACTAGCTAGGGGTAGAACAACGTGCCGCAAGTGCTTGGCTAGCTCATTCTTACGCATATGGAGGAAACAATGTGACATAGAGTTGTGCAGTTTAATGGTTCAATATGCAATCTCAAGTAATTGATTCTGCATGGCTTTTCAGCATAATGGTAATCATGTGATATGTATGTAGCTCAGATAGTCTTGCTTCATGATATAAGGGATGTATGTCGAGTCACCACTTTGACCAGTTGCAGCCTCTGTGTCTGGGAGACAGGTACTTCAAAGACTGAAATTTGATATGGACTTAAAGAACAGATAAGGTGATGGATAGGGGTCAAGCAAATAAACATTCTTTGAATTTGAAGTGTGTAAATTTTGGAACAGGTGTTCAACGTCTGTGATGCAGATAAGGACAATAAGGACTCATCATTGTTTATGATAGATAATATTAGGATGACAGATTTAATATCCACCATAAGTCCATTCATAGAAATTTGGCATCTTGAGATAACCCATCAGGTCAGCTCAGTGGTAATGTTTTGGTACAGTCTGGCTGCAATCACAAAACACTCATGAAGTCTTACTCAACAACTTTGCTTACTTGTACAGTGATACCCATACAATTGCATACCTTTACATACCCATGCAATTGGATAATCAGCAGTGGCCAGCACTTCCCTAGACTTGGTGCAGGCTAAAAACTAGGTTTATTGCATAATTATGTTAAAAATTATATTGCATCGGGAACCCGCCACCTTCCTTCTCCAACAAAACACTCAATTAGTGTCTTGCAGTATGGAAAGTAGTGCACACAATTCCATTCATTCAAATAGAAGATCCAAACCTCAAGTCCATCATGTATTAAATACAAACAGATGCCTGTATTTTTGGTAGAAAGTGGTCTGCTGATGAGGCCAAGAGAGTCTAAATCTCACTATGTGATCTGATGATTGACAAAGAGCTCAACATATTTCTGTTTATTCTTCTTATTCTCTTAAATTTTTTTAGGAGTCCCATTAAGGGGGCAGGGCTGAATATCTCAGGATACCACTCCTGTGATGTAAGTGTTGTTTTGTTAAATTATCATACTTTTCAAGAAGCAGCTGGTTATACCTAGGCTAGCATCCCTTTGAGAACTCTACCTAGATTTGAAGGAAGTTGAAAGTACCAAAAAGATGGAAACACCACCTATGCCAATGGAAACATTTGAGCACTCACACCAAACAATGAAAATCAACTGAAATTCTTTCGTTCAAGACCATCTGAGGCAAGGACTGTTAAGTTCTGAGGTAAAGCACCTTTCGCCATAGCCAGGCTATGTCTGCTGGTTGACAAGTGCACACACTGATTCAAAGGGAACTGGTGTGTGCTTGTTGACAGCAAACACCATGCGGGCACAGTGTTTGATGACATATCTTACTGATGCCTTATACAAAATAAGGGATAAATGATGGTTAAAACATCTTTTGTGCAAAAAGCAATTGCTCAATTTGGGGGTCAAACCCAAGACATCCGCATAAAACCTTGGGGTGAACCCCAAGACAAGTATTAGTACGGCACTCTGACCAACTGACACCACATGCAATGTCATGTTGCTTTCTGCCCTGCAACGGTATGTGGCTGGCGCAGATAGTTCACAGCCAGGACCAGCGACAGGGCCAAATTTGGCTGTGACACCCCTTTTCCCATGCAACATTGCCTTGTACTACAGTCACAGTGCGACATACAGCTCCTCACTGCAACATACTCACAACTGCCTGCGACATCCACCCTTGGACCAGATACCCTTGATCCTCTTCAACACATCAATTACCTATATACTCCTTTGACAAACCCTTCTCTTTTCACAAATCCAACCATCACAATGATCATATGCACCTGCTCCAGATGCGTGCGTCAAACGTGTAGTGGCCCACAAGGAAATCAGCAGCCCAGACAATTTGTACTCCAAGCAACTCAGCTCAAGCATCACCTTGCCGATGTAAAAAAATCACCAGATCACTTGTCAAGCAGCCGTGAAGCCTCTCCGGAAGTAGAACGTGACAATTTTCAAGAATTTTTAAAGCATCAGGAAGATTTGGAGTATGAGGCGCTACAGATAGGTGGCCATGACTCATTGCTGACTGGTGAGTGACGGAAAACTTGCCAATACACTTCCTCATATGAGAGCTAACACTCCTCTCCTACTCGATCACAAGTGATCACTTTTGTTGCAATATTTTTAGGCTGGTGGCATTTGTTCTGTGGCCTTAGTAGTGCATGATGTCACATGGCACAGGTCTTCATTCTTGAGATTTTAGAAATGGCTCAAAACCATCCGCTATTAGACAATACAGAAGAACGTCAACTCCCCAAGGACACTTGTACAATAATCAAGACACTATCTATCAGTCCTGACTTAAAGAAAAAAATCTGCTGCCCAAGTTGTTTCAGCCTCTACACACCGGCAAGCACACCTTGGACGTGTTCATACCAAAAATCACCAACAGCTCATGTATGTGGGGAAGCTCTTTTTGAACTGACGAAGATGTACCAAGGTCTGCGTGACAGAGGCCAAGACCAGAAGTATCCTAGCCTGTTTACAAGCCTTGTACCAGCCGAAATTGGTTATCCACGCAATGTTTATGTCATTCAGGAATTATCTTCCTGGTTAACTTGGTTCCTTTCAAAGTCAAATATAGAAGACAAGATCAACAAATGGTCAGACGAGCTCGGCAAATCCCAGGAAACAAAGATATCTGATATCCAGAAGGCCAAAGCTTGGAAGGAGATCACCTGGCCGAATGACCCTTTGACCGGCCCAAAACCTTTGAACCTTGTTTTTTCTCTATTCATCAATTGGTTCAGTCCTCAAGGAAACAAGAGATGTGGTGCACAACAATCAATGGGTTTCTTGGCCTTCAACTGGATGAATCTTCCACCCTCACTGCAAAATCTCATTCAGAACACCTGTGTTGCTGGAATAACTCCAGGACCAAACATGCTGGACATGACAACCATCAGCCATGTACTCAAAGACCACACAGACGACTTGCTTCTTCTTGAAGAAGGAATTATCATTGCCACATCTCAATATCCACAAGCCTGTTAAGTACAAGTTCAGTTACTCACAATACACTGCCAGCATTAAAGAGGTTCCCAGATGGGAATACAGGTCCTAGTGATCAGATTCCCATTCTGCTACTGTTACACAGTTCCATGAATATTTCCTGAGTAGCCATTGTGATATATGTAGTCAATATTTTGAAATGTGCGTCTCAATCTGAACAAAGCTACAGCATGTATTACACATGATTTTCTTATCTAGATGAGCAGATGACTGAGCGGACCTGTATGTAGCTGATAGCTAAGGATTTACTCAGATGTTTGCACATATGTAGTGTATGCTTTATGCCTCAGATGTGCAGTGCAAGATGATTTGATTCTACATTCTTCTCTCAATGATATTCCCAGCCTAGGTCATGTTCCAACCAGGGAACCTATTTAATGCTGGCGGTGATACTGGGTGATATGGTTGGTATGCATAAAGTTGCGGGTTTTGCGTCTCATTCCGCAACTCTCTACTGCACATGGTGCTGGGCAAAATCAAATGATGGTTTCAGGATTCATATTGGCAGACTTTGAACCAAGGCCAAGGTCCTGGACGCCACAACCCAATCCAAAGCAGCTGTCACTTTGAGTGATAAGGATACCATTCCTAGGAAAACTGGGGTGTGTTGGTCTGAACTTAACCACCTTACCTATTGTGATCCGGTCAAAGATCTTCCAATTGGCATGATGCATAATTGGTTTGAAGGTATCATTCAAGATCACCTTTGATATTGCTGGGGTTTTGTGTTATATAGTCGAGAACAGAAGCGTAATACGAAGAAGAAAAGGCCAAGGGATAAAGACAGATCAGATTCAGATCAACAACCACAAAAACATCTGGAGTATGAGGCAGGAGGTGGCAATGTGTTTGATGAGGATATTGAATTGGAAGACAGATCTGAGTCGAGTGAGTCTGAGGAGGATGTCGAGCTGGAAGGGGGATTTGTATTGAGATAATGAACAAGTCTAGAACTTCATTTCTATTTCGTCATAGTTAATATCTATATGATGTCAACTTCATCTATTTCATTTCTTCTCTGACATCATTATGTCTTCTCCTTCTCTATCTATTCATGTACCTTGGTTCTACGAGATC